CCCGCTTATGCAAATGAAGCCCGGGAAATTCAAATCCCGGGCTTCATTTGCAAGTGCGGTATGCCTACATTACCCTCCTAGTTTGAACTAGCGGGGTAGTGTAGACATACCCTGAGTCTCCCTTTCCTCCCCGCTCGCTAGCTTGATGGCTTTGTGTGCCTGTTATATAAATGTACCTTCATTGACTCTGCCTGCTGACCAGACAAACAAATGCACATTCCTTTATCAAGGCAGACTTGTTTTATGCATTGTTTGCCAAACACAGTCGAAGCACATCATTCTGGCGTACACAGCTCTTTGTACATACATCATGCAAGGCTATTAACGGCCAGTGAATTATTAGTTTTCTGTTGCTATATCACAGGAAACCTTTTGGGTCAGTATCATGACAAGTATGTCCGGTGTACTGAGTGTGTCAGGCCTGACCAGGGTCGGTGACACAGAGCAGTAACTTACCCCTGAGTCTCTCTTCTTTTTTTACCACCGGGAAGGTGGTTGTCACCCATTTGTCACTCAACCGTTTTCTCCGCCCATTAGGCATCTTGCCCGGTTGATGGAGCTGACAGCAACGGTCGGACGGCGCTCCACTATGCAGGTCAGCAAGGGACCCTCCATCTCACTTGCATCTCTCCCCCATTTCAAACGCTGCTGTCAAATCAGCTGCATAAACGGCCAGCCGGTAACTTGACGTACAGTGAGGATTTCAAAGGCAGCGACTGTGCAGATGGATGCATGCACAGGGAGGTGGGGGGACAGAATCAGGCATGTACCCAGGCTCAACATTGGGATCTAGTCTGCCTAGACAGAAAACCATGCTCTCTCCTAAGTAGCATCATGGGTTCTGCCTTTCTGGGCTAGATCTGGGAAAGGGGAAGGGATATGCCAAGGCAGTGAACTGGGGTTAACAGTCTCTCCCTTCCTGTCTAGCTGTCAGCGGCTGCATCTCATGCTCAGAGATTCTCTGTGATTTCAAGGCCTCCTTGAATGCCAAGGACAAGGTGAGGCAGGTCTTGGTGACCTTCTGGGGTTTGATTTCCCCTGCACAGAGAGCCAGCACAAGCCTGGGTGCCCCTTCCACGCCACTGGAAAGCTGGTGTCGTGTAGCAGAGAACCAGATGTGCAGGGATCCCATCACCCTCCCCCCCCTGAAATGCAGCCACCTCTCAGGTGGAACGCAGCAGCTGGTGAACAGACCGCAATGATAGCACATATACCTGTTATATCTTTAGCTCCTAATGGATGTTGCTGTGTAAGTACCCGGAATAGACAGAATAATGCTCAGGGATATGGGAATCTTGCATTGAAGGCGACACAACAGCATGTGTTGGCAATAAAATGCATGTAGCCCACAGGTGTGAATATTCCACCCCTCGAGCGACATAAGTTACACTGACAGAAGCATTCACGTACTCAGTGCTAAGTCGGCAGGAGGGTTTCTCCCACCGACCAAGGGTTTTCTGCTTGCGGGAGTGGGGGGAGGGGGGTTAATACCGATAGGAGAGCTCTGTCCCCCCTCGGCCGAGAGTGTTTCCGCCGGATGTGATGCAGTAGTGCAGCTGTGCTAGTTCAGCGTCAGCACTTCACACACAGATGTACCCAAGGGAAGCTCCAGACGAAATGCGGGAGGCAGGACATGCCATCTGGTGCAGAAAGCACCCTGGAATTTTTAATGACCAGGCCCTGCGTTTTACAGCTGTTTTGTTTGCTTTCTTTGCACGTGGTGCTCACCCTGCAAAATAATATCTCATCCAGTACCAGCAAGGACGGCCCAGTGGTTAGGGGACTTGCCTCAGCATTGAGAGACCTGGGTTCCATTCCCAGCTTTGCCACAGGCAGACGGTGTGACCTCAGGCATGTCATTTAGCCTGCCACTGCTTCCCTTCTCCCTCTGGGCAGTGTGACGATAGCCTTGCCCTGCCTCACGGGGGCTGTTAAAAAATGCGAGCGCCCCTGCTGGAAAGCGTTGTAGAAGATTCAGGTCTCGTGGCTTAGGGAAGGGTTTTAGAAGCAAACGAGGTGTCCACCCCTAACTACCAGGGAGGTAGTCCTTCCCTGACTACTGTGCACACTCTGTGGGCTCCTCCAAGTACAGTGGGATCTGGCTCTGGATGGAGGGAGGGGCTGTTCCCAACTGACTTTCCTTCTCCACCCCCTGCTTTAGGATGGCTGCACTCCGCTGATCCTGGCAGCTAAGATGAGGCACTCAGAGTTGTGCCGGTACCTGCTGCATCGCGGAGCTGCTGTGAACAGCAGAGACCTGCAAGGCAGGTGAGAGCCTTCCTTCGGAAGGGCCCTGGGATTGGAGAGGGCAGGTTAAAGGACAGGGGTGGCATTTCTTATGGCAGAGAAATGAGTCCTAGTCAATATTGAGCGGGCAGCCACTGAGAGCCTGGGTCTGAGAAGGGGCCAGAGGTCTCCAGCTGACAACCTCTGGGTGAGCTGCTCAGGGCTGCATCTGTCTTGGGGTAGGGCTGGAGGAGTCAGGCAGACACCGAATCTGCAAGGAAGCATCTTATAGAGCTGTAACCGGAACGGCCTGCCCGAATCCTGCCCTTACCCCACCGTGCGATGGGGTTTCTACAGGCTGGAGTCTGACGGGTTCCCGCTCCCAGCCTGGCACCGGGGGGGGGGGCGGATACTTGGCTATGTGGTAGCCCCAATCCTGCTTGCAAACCTGGGCAGTCGTGTCCTCAGCAGAGGGGGCCAGGAGACAGGGCGAGGGGGGAGAGAAGTTAGAAGAGCCGGGCCCAGTGGAGACGCAGGGCTCCCATCCTGCTCCGCAGCCTCGTGCCGCTGGCTCTGGAGGGTGAGCGAGGTGTCTCTCTCCCCCTCTACCCCTGCTGCAGAACAGCCCTGATGCTGGCCTGCGAGATCGGCAGCGCGGAGACGGTGGAAATCCTCGTCCATGCCGGGGCCCGGGTCGGCATGGTGGACGCCCGAGGTCAGGACGCAGCTGGCTACAGCCTGGCCACGGGGAACGCCTTGATCCAGCACTACCTGCAGGACGCCTCCCAGCGCCACTCCTTGGCCAGCGGTAAGATGCTGGGGACAAGCCCCATCCCCCCCAGGTCTCAGAGCACCTCGCCCCTGCCCAGAGGGAGGCGATAACGTCCTGGTTTGCAGGGGGGCGTCCAGCTTGGATGGAGTCAGGGAGCCCTCCTCCTTTTACTCCTCCTGCCCCATAAGCGCTGGCTGGGAAGTGCCTCTCCCTAGACCAGCCAGAGGGGGGCGCTGGAGCATGATGGGCCGCGCTCCCTTCCCAGGTGCGGCTGCCAGCTGAGGGCTTGGGTCCACCACAGGGCAGCCCGGAGCCTCGGGGCAGAGCCGGTCTGCTCCCCATCCGGCTGAGGGGACCAGGCTGCAGGTGGCCTAGTGCCCCGGCCCCTCTAACCTCTTGCTGGTTTGTTTCCTCTCCTCTCTGCCTCCCACAGAAGAGGAGTCGGCTGAGCGGACGTCCCAGGTAAAGACGCTGGGGGCCCAGCCCTGTGGTAGCCGCTGGAGGCACGTTCCCACAGCAGAACTGGGCCGTCCTGCCCGGCTCGGCCGCGTCCCAGGAAGGCAGGGGAAGGGCTCTCCAGGGGGCTGGCAGGAGAAGAGGCCCCTGGAAGCCCTTGTGGAACATGGGGCTTTTCAGGGGCTGGGGTGGGGGGGAGGTTAGGAGCCCTTAGGGATTCTTGCTGCCCCCTGCCCAGTCGGGGTTTGCTGGGGGAGCTGCTGGAGCCCTCTCCTCTCCTCTCGGTGTCCCTGCAGACGTCATCGCCGAGCCAGCCCCTGCTCACCGAGAGGAACAGCAGCCCGCGAAAGAGGAAGGCCCCTCCGCCGCCCCCGGGGACCGCCAGCCAGGTGAGGTGGCCATAGCTCTGCCTCACCCCGCACGCACCCCAGCGGGTGCTGTGACGTTGTGGCGGTTCTCCTCTGGCCGCCATGCCTCGCGTCCGGGCGCCTCTCAACCCTCAACGGCTTTGTCCTCACCCCACCCCCGTGCTGTGCGCCCGTATCACAGAAGGGGAGACTGAGGCCCAGAGCCTCAAGGTCAAATCTTGGATTTCTGTGGGCATGCGTCACCAACGTACCTTTGAGGACTGGGGCATAAGTGAGATGCCCAGAGTCACCCGGGGAGTCTGTGGCGGAGAAGGGAATTGAGACTGGGCTGCCCATGCCTTATACTAGGGCCCTGGCCCTTGTGCCATCCTCCCATTTGAGTCTCTCTTCCCTCTCCCTTCTCTCCCCGCCAAGGCATTTATCTGCCCAGGGGAGCTCGCTAACACAGCAGCATCTCTTCAGGGCCTTTCATAAGGGCATGATCAGCCTGTGTCCGTCCAGGGAGACAGGCAGCCTGTGCTGCTGTGGTCCAGCCGCCAACTGGCCCTGGCATGGGTAGATCCCAGACGGGCATCAAGGATCCTCGTGGATTTCTCTTGCCCCGGGGTTTCCCTATGCTGGTTGCTGGGTGCACACCCCTTCCCCTGGGGGGTTGGTGGCAGCAGGCAGGGAATGGGTACGCCCTCAGCGTGTGGCTGATCACGGGATTCGGATGGGGAGCAAAAACTCCAGCCCCTGCCCCGCCTCTGGATTTCCCAGGGCTGTGAGAGCCCCGCCATGGGATTCTGTGATCCTGCCACATCCCTGGTGCTAAGCAGCGCAGGCCTGGTCAGTGGCTGGATGGGAGACCCCATGCGTGCTGCTGGAGGTGGCACCATTGAGCAGGCCTAAAAGCCCCGAGCCTGGAGGGTCAAAAGGGCCCAGGGCTCCTGGCAGTCCTGTTAGTGAGTCAGTGGGGGGCTCGTCTCTGAGTCTGTGCCTCTTCCCCATGCTGCGGTGTAGGACTCCGAAGGAGGTCAGCAGTATTGGTGTCCCGTTTTCCAGCAGGGAAACTGAGGCACGGAGCCATGCTGTGGTTTGCCCATGGTGGCTCAGCAGTGCAGGGGCAGGATCAGGTCTCCTGCGTCCCAGCACAGCACTCAGATTGCGAGGCAATCCTCCCCACGTCACGGCCGAACTCCGCTGGAGGGGCCAGACCCGCTCCCCGAAATCCCCTGGGTCCAGGGTGCCGCCTTGCTGCACCCTAGAGGTGGCTGCGTCGAGGGGAGTAAGCCCTGGGCGTGTGCGTAAAGCCATGCTGACCATTTAGGGCGGGAGGCGTAATGGGACTTGGGTGGGAACGGAGCTGGGGGCTTGGGATAAGCCGGCTGCCCTCCTGGCAGCTCCTGGCTCTGTCTGTGTGACTGACGCCTGTTCCTGTTTTCAAGCACGTCCCCTGCTCTCCGGAGCACAGTTCCCCTTCCACAGAGCCGAGCAGCCGGATAGTCACCGCCAAGCCTGCCAGGGCTCGGCCTGGCCCTGGCAGGGGTAGCGGGATGGGGCAGGCTGGGGGCCCCCCCGCAGGGCCCTGACTGTGGGATTCCCCCCAGGAGGACAGGGAGGCCTACGAGGAGATCGTCCGGCTGAGGCAGGAACGGGCTCGGTTCCTGCACAAGATCAAGGGCCTGGAGCATCAGCAGGAGAAGCAGAAACGGGAGGTACTGAGGTGACCCGCCCCAATGGGCTCTGGGCCGTTTGGTGGAAGGAAGCCGCCTCTGGCATCACCACGGCAACTGCCAGCGGGGTCTTGCCCTGGCGAGCTGCGGGGGGGCCCCTCGTGGCTGGGAATGCCCCCTCTGCCGCTCTGAGCCCAGGAACAGACGTGCAGATGGGTTGCCATGGGGATAACCAGGCTGCACAGCTCGTTAACCGTCTTGGATTCTCCTTGTGTTCCCATTAGCGGCTGGGGGTGGAGGAGGGCTCCCTACGCTCCATGGAGAAGCAGGTAGGCCAGGTCTCTGGACCCGGAGAGCTCCGGACGTTCTCTGAGATGGGGTGGGAAGGGAAAATGGCTTTGTGCAGATGCTGAGGAGGAGGAACCATCATGCTTCAGGGCATGAACTGGTCATCAGCTGGGGGTCAGGAGGAAATGTTGGGAGGCCGGTGCTGGGTTTGGAATACAACCGCCTCACCAGGCCCTGGGCAAGGTGTGTGTGGGGCTCTGTGCTCCTGGAAAGGGCAGGGCTTTAGGTGCAAGGGGCAGGGCTCAGGCATCCAACCCTCAGCGCTACCCACAGCGTGCCTCCCCCTGCTGCCCTCCCTGCAGCCCCCTCAGTCACACAGGGTAACAAGGCAGTGCTCTGATGGTGATTTAAAGAGCGTGGGCTTCAGCTTCTACTGCAGCTGTGGTAGTGGAGGTGGCCAGAGCTCCCTGGGCTCCGGGACAATTGCCCCCTTTGCCCCCTCCCATTGGTGGGCCTGTTCCGAGCATCCGCGGGGCCCGCCACCTTTGGAATAAGAGGTTAGACCTGATAAACCAGGTGAGAACAAGTTAAAAATTACCTGGAGAACTTCGATGTCTCCAAGTTGTTAGAGAAGAAACAGGCGACCCAGGAGCGGATGGGGTAAACGGAACTGCTTTATTGCCACGCACGTTTACCTCGGACATGCAACACAACGTCCCAGCGGTAACAGTTTGGCACCAATTACAGCTTTTATCTATTTTAGTATGTTCGTTCACACGTCTTTCTTTACTTTCCCTAAAGCCTTATTTGTAATGTTAACTCCTACACAATGAATATGAATAAGCAGGGGATGAGTATTATTATACCCCTGCCTAATTACTATTTACAGAATTTCTAATTAAATCAAAATAAACTTAAAAAAAACCAATAGTCTGGAAGAAGTGGGCTGTGCCCACGAAAGCTCATGATTCCATCGACATGTTTTGTTAGTCTATAAAGTGCTACCAGACCATTGGTTGTTTTTTAAGTTTATCCTGTACAGACTAACTCAGCCACCCCCTGAAGCTAATTAAATCAACACTTTCCTACGCTACAAACTTTCCAAATCAGTAGTTTACAGAGATTACAAGAGATGTAGCCCTGAAAATATCTTATACAGTGCCAGGGAGGGTATGTAAAAGACACAACAAAGAAGAGCAACTGCATACTTATCTATTTTTGTAAACTACAAAAATGTTTATACATCAGGAAGGATAATACCTGTTTTGGCTGGACTTTTAATCTATTTTTCCAGACTTAGAAACAAAGGGAAAAAACATGTTCAAGGGTAATGCCATGGCTGAACTTCTTAACCACCAGTGTACAACAATCTCAGACCCCTATTCATTTTTACATATGCTGGTACAAGTCACCAGGGCTGGATGAAATGCATCCTAGATACTCCAGGAGCTGACTGGGGAGATATCTGAGCCATTAGCGATTATCTTTGAAAATTTTTAGAAGTTGGGAGAGAGTCCAGAAGACTGGAAAAGGGCAAATATAGTGACCCTCTATAAAAAGGGAAATAAGGACAATGCAGGGACTTACAGACCAGTCAGCTTAACTTCTGTGCCAGGAGAGAGAATGGAGCAAATAATTAAGGAATCCGTCTGCAAACATCTAGAAGATAATAAACTGAAAAATAATTGCCAGCATGGATTTGTCAAGAACAAGTCATGTCAAACCAACCTGATAGCTTTCTTTGACAGGATAACAAGCCTTGTGGAGAAGGGGGAAGTGGTAGATGTGGTATACCTGGACTTTAGTAAGGCTTTCAATATAGTCTCTCGTGACCCTCTCATTATAGGAATATACAACCTAGGGCTGTGTCTAGACTGGCCAGATTTTCCGGAAAAACTTGCCAGCTGTCTACACTGGCCGCTTGAATTTCTGCAAAAGCACTGACTTCCTACTGTAAGAAATCAGTGCTTTTTGCGGAAATACTATGCTGCTCCCATTCGGGCAAAAGACTTTTTCCGAAAGACTTTTGCGCAAAAGGGCCAGTGTAGACAGCAGAGATTTCTTTTCCGCAAAAAAGCCCCAATCGCAAAAATGGCGATCAGGGCTTTTTTGCAGAAAAGCGCATCTAGATTGGCTACGGACGCTTTTCCACAAAAAGTGCTTTTGCGAAAAAGCGTCCTGCCAATCTAGACTCTCTTTTCCGAAAATGCTTTTAATGGAAAACTTTTAACGTTAAAAGCATTTCCGGAAAATCATGCCAGTCTAGACGTAGCCTAGATGTAGCTGCTATAAGGTGGATGCATAACTGGTTGCATAACCATTCCCAGGAAGTAGTTATCAATGGTTCACAGTCAGGCTGGAAGGGCGTAACAAGTGGGGTTCTGCAGAAATCAGTTTTGGGGCCAGTTCTGTTCAATATCTACATCAAGGATTTAAATATTGGCATAGACAATAGTCTATACTGATAAAGTTGGTGATGATACCAAGCTGGAAGAGGTTGCCAGTGCTTCAGCAGATAGGGCTTTAATTCAAAATGATCTGGACATACTGGAGAAATGGTCTGAGGTAAAGAGGATGAAGTTTAATAAGGACAAATGCAAAGTGCTCCGCTTAGGAAGGAACAATCCATTGCACACGTACAGAACGGGAAGCGAGTGTCTAGGAACGAGTCCCGCAGAAAGGGTCATGGTGGACCACAAGCTAAATATAAGCCAGTGTGAAAACTTTTTCAAAAAAACAAACATCGTTCTGGGAGGCATTAACAGGAGTGTTGTGAGCAAGATACAAGGAGTCATTCTTCCGCTCTACTCTGTGCTCACTAAGCCTCAGCTGGAGTATAGTGTCCAGTTCCGGGCGCCACGTTTCAGGAAAGATGAGGGCAAACTGGAAAAGTCCAGAGAAGAGCATGAAAAACGACGAAAGGTCTAGAAAGCACGACCTGTGAGGGGAGACTGAAAACTGGGTTTGTTTAGTCTGGAAAAGGGAAGTTTGAGAGGGGACATAACAGTTCTCAAGTATCTGAAAGGAGGGAGAAAATTTGTTCTCCTTGGCCTCTGAGGACAGGAAAAGAAGCAAGGGGCTTAAATTGCAGCAAGGGAGGTTTAGGTTGGACATTAGGAAAAATTTCCTGCCTGTCAGGGTGGTGAAACACTGGAATAAGTCACCTAGGGAGGTTGTGGAATCTCCATCCCTGGGGATATTTGAGAGCAGGTTGGACAGACACCTGTCAGGGATGATCTAGACCAGGAGTCTCTAACTCAGTTTACTTTAGGGCCACTGTCAGTCCTCAAATCCTCCTAGTGGGCCACTGGCCTCCCCCGGCCCCTCTACACGTTGTCCCCTCCCCCGTGTGTCTGCTGACCCACACGCTCCTCTCCCCTGGCCCCACCTGCTGTCCTCGGCGATTTAATAACCCCCAGGGACTCCTGCTGCCACCACTGGCAGTGCTGGGGGCTAGAGCAGCTTCTGGCTGCTAGCTCGGCTGCCGGCAGGTCCCTGTGGCCTGAGGGAGGTGTATGCAGAGTGGTCCCATCCACAGGACAGACCCCCATGCCTGGCGTAACCCCACACTCAGGCTAGGCTGTGTCCCTTGGTGGAGAGGAAGGAGGGGGGTTGAGCAGGAGTGGGAAGAGGGGGGCTGGGCTTGGGGGAAGGGTATGGTCTGTCTCCCCCCACTCCCAAAGGATTTGCATGCCCACCGCCGGGCGCAGGCGGGATGGTGGAGCTGCAGGGCTGTCAGTGGCCCGCCGGCTGTGACCTGGGGACCGCTGGTCTAGCTCCGCGGTTTTCAAACTTTTTTTCCCTCATGACCCAGTTGAAGAAAATGGCTGATGCCGCGACCCACCATAATGTGACTGCAGTGTGAGCTCCGGGGCGGGGCTGAGGACAGAGCTTTGGGCTGTAGAAGGGGGTTCCGGCTTTGGGGGGGGGGGTCAGGGCTGAGGCAGGAGGGGCTTTCCTGGAGTGGCGCCCGTGCCGCG